CAAACAATATCAGAGTTTTAGTAGTATATAGACAGATTCTTCAAGATCTTGTTTTTGTCATCTTACGTCTTTTAATGAAGATGGGAACATTGACAGGGAAATAATATATTATAGCCAATGCTCGGCAAGAGGTTTTCATTCATAAAATTTTGTTGTTGTCCTTGACTTGATTTTTATTTTATTACCTCATCTCCATAGTTACTATTTGCAAATAGTCAATAATATTGTACGTCCATTTTATTGTTGTTCTTTCTATGCGCCGTTATAACACATTTTCATCTCATCATTTAATTTCTGTTGTGCATATATTGTTGTATAGAAGATATTTTAAAGTGATTCATCAGGTGGAAAACGAATAGATAGATATATAAACATATATGTAGCGCCATCTAGTGTACCTAAATTCATCTACAAATTTTCATTAAAGTGACTCGAAAACGGGGCTAACTCGGTAACCTGTGGCCCGATTTTAACGAAACTTGTTTTATTCTGTTTCTATTCTCATTTCATTACAAATATGGTGGTATTGTGCACCGTTTTTGCTGTATTTAATTACAGACAAGCACACAAACAAACAATCTCAGAGTTTTAGTAGTATATAGATGAATACTGATCATTTTAATAAATTCTTGGAGTATCAAAACAGTAAGCATGACAGTATATGATTCACTGTTGAAATTGGTAATATCAGAAATTAGCTTTTTTAGTTACATCTTACTATAAAAATTATCCATGATGTATGTGTTAGCATTCATCACCCAGAGTTGGTCAACTCAATTACCATAATTTTGGTATGATAACTAAAAACTGGGCTATTTTGCTTTACGATTTTTGCCTGAGAAGGAGTAAAAAAGAAGCTGAAACAGGGCACATTTACACTATTTTGACAGATTTTTGGCTTTGAATTTAAAGATGCAAGAACACAATCAGTTAAATGAGTCAATCATTCCATTACAAGAGTTTGCAATTAGCATCTAATGAGGTAATTAAGGATTTAATAACAAAAGAGAGAAGGAAGGGGAACACTGTCTAACATTATCCTTTATACAATTTTTGTTTCTTTAACGGGCACCCTCAGCTAGTTAGTTCATAATTATGATGGTTATATTGAGTGAGAAGCTTATAATAAAAAATATGCTCACCAGTTTGTATTTCAATTCTTACAAGCTATATCCCTAAATTTTGTTCTAAGTCAACGTAATCTAGACCTCATTTCATTGTGCATAATACATCTCCAGCACATATGTATTTTTACACAAAGTCTAATGATGTTAAAAGATTCTTATGCAAACATTTTTTTCCTATTTGTTTGACAGATACAATAATTTGTGACTTCTTGAACATACAAAACTTCATAAAACTACCAATACAGGCAGTTCTCTAAATGTGTAATTCTTATAAGTTGACAGTAGATTGGTAAACATGTTTTGTATGATAAAAACAGCTGGTTACTTTTCTTCATAGAGTGTATCCACATATACATATAATTAAGATTCATTTTTAACTCAAGATGTCAGTCATTGGTAGTATTTTTTAAGATATAAAGAGAGAGAGAGTTTCTCCACTTAGAAAATCAAATGCAGTTTACAATTTACTCGTCCTAGTTGCAATCTAGTATAACTTTGACTGCAACAAGGACAATTAAACTGACGTGTGTGAAATAACATGCCAATTTAAGGTCACCAAAAAGTTTGAACATAATAGAATACACCTTAAGTGAAATGCTATAGTTGGCCATTCAAATTATTTTAAGATTATGACTAAGTTTAATAACAAACAAAACCTTTGTATAAAAAAAGAGCTTATTCATAAGCAGAGGCTTCAACTTAACCAAGTCAGTCAGTTCAGTATTTAAATTACTGCTTATTTCATAACAACAAAGAATATATTTTAGTCAAATTATGTTTTTAGCAAATGTTCAATTTTTAAAAATATCAAACTGTCACCAAAAATGTCTTACCATACGTGGTTTTCCGCCTGTGACTTGCCCCTTTAGCTGGTCAATATTCAAAACTGTCAAAAATATCAATTTCATCTTTTTTTTAAATGAACCAAACAACTCTTAAAAAACTGATTAGTGAACGATTTCTTTATACTTTTAAACAGTAACTATATTAACATTCATTTGCAAGTAAGACAGTGGGAATATTGCATATTGGTACTGAAACAAATGTACGTTATTTTTACATGTCATTCATTCACAGGCTAATTATAATTTATTGATAAGTTCTAGATTTATAAAGGATAACCGTGACTTTTCTTAACTTCGTTATTCCATAACAGGGATTCAGGTGATTTAACTTTCTCCTATCATAAATAAAATTTTTGTCAATTTAGCATTTGAAATTTTTTTCGTTAGCTGTTTATTTAATTGCAGTAATGTTTTGTTTGATTACAACAGATAGAAATTTAGATTATAGAATTAAGTCACTTATTAGTTAAGTTATCCAGTTTTGTTTTATTTAACTTGCAATACAATAATACATAATGATAACCTTGTTCAAACAAAATATAACATATTTTAAAAACCTAACCAAATAACACAGAAGTGGAAGTTTCTGCTAGTAATCCAGAATTTCTTTTTTAAAAGAACATTTAGCTTTATATTTTTTCCTTAGAACTTAAATCAAGCATTTGATTTCTATGCACATGGTTCCCACACCTTGAGCAGAATGAACTTCCCTGATTTTTCCTGATCAAAATATGTTATTCCCTGACCAATCAATCTGTGCTTGTAATACATCCTTGGGTAAAAAACATTTTTTGGTTGTGGTATGTTGTATTTGAATGTATAAAATGTAAAGGCAGTGCTGTGAATTCAATATAATTAATACAGTTAAGTGACCTGCAGAGACTACTCATGTATAAGGTTAGGTATGTAGAGTTCTGAAAAATCTGATGACAGTTCTAACCTTCTCAATGATTGTGAAGTTAATTCTATTCCAAAACATGTGACACCCATCAAACACTTCTAATACAAGGAACTTTGAGCCAAAAGGTGTGATCAACAATTACAAACAGATCAACATATTTAGCAGATCTAGCAACACTTCCAAAACCTGGGTATTGGAAGCAAGTATTAAAATTCAGTGACATTGCTCCCAGCTCCATACTTAACAGGGTGATGGTAACAGTACCCTATGTGTCTATCAGCAAATGAAGAAATTCACAAAAAAATCCTTAACACGCAAACATTGCAGTCTGATATGAAGGTCTGAGGGATGACATTAATTTCCCATATACCGTTCCTTTTTCATTGGATAGTACAACAAACAGGAATCCCCATACAATTGAAGACTTTGAAGATTTCAAATATTTAATTACATCCTGGAACTCTAATCGTTGTTCTTTTAATTACACAGATTGCAAAACATTCTTCATGTATTGTTTGATAACGACTGTATGTTAAGAGTTACAGTTTGATTAAATGTCATCTTGCAAAGTTTATATATTATTAACCATGGCATTCTTGAATTACTGATACTTTATCAGTGCATACCAGTCACATTTTAAAGTTTTAACTTAAATCATGAAACATTATTATAGTATAAACAACACTAGAGATTTTAACATTTGTGATCATTTTGTTTTGGCTTTGAATACACGGAACTGATATTTCCAATATCTATAAAAAAACTGCACATGTTAATGAAATCATCCATTAATCCAGAGCACATTGTATTATTTTTGCACATGCTTTGAAATTGTGTGTACCCAGTTAATATATATATCAGAAGTGCTGAATTCTTTGAATTAAAATGACAGTATATTATTGATCAATCACATTACCCAAAATATTTTCAGGTTCACAAAAGTTTTGTTATTCATGAGATTGCCAGGTTATACTTACATATAACTAAGTTTTACACTCCATTCATACATATAGGATATGAAATAAAAACTCATCAAACTATGTAGATTTGTTCTATCTTTGAACTACCAGGCTTTACCAAATATCCAAACTGTTCATTTTCACTGTGACTATTTTAAGTCTTTCCTATACAAATATGTCAATGACATAACATATCTAGAGTATTGTGTGTGTTCCTTCTATGACTACTGTCAAGAAAAACATTTTATTAGTGCACTAAAATTTGGAAGATCAAAATACCTTTCTTACTGAAAAAAGCCCATCTCTAAATAATAACTTATTACAAGTTTTTAAATAGTACATTGATCCTCCATGATATTCAGGAACACTAGACAAAGCCTTGTCCAGAGCCCTTACATTCTGTTGAAGTGGGAACCTAACTACTGTTTATGTAATCTCATTACAGCTGTCTTCCTATTCCCTGACAATAATGGTAAAAAAAAGAAAAAAAGATCGATGTTGACAAACCAATGTTTCTGCATAAAATATTCACATACTGATGTGTTAAATGCACCAGAATGATCTATATGTAATTCTGTGGTGTTAATGATAAATTATTTTATCATCGCTGAATCACAAAATTTATTGATTGATTTTTCCCAGTTTCTGTCTGTAAAATGAAATTTTCTGATGGTTCCTCGGCTGAGAATGCTAAATATAAAATTCCCTGATTTTTCCCAATTTTCCTGACCAATACAATCATGCATGCAAAATTAACAGAAAAAATAGTATAAAATTCTGATTATGTCAAACAGTGACAAGAAACTTTCTTAAAGTTTCTGGACAAGTAAAAGCAACTCACTTTTTCCTACTACTGTCCAGTTTCTACAACAATCTTTCAAAACTGAATGAAGTTCAAACTTAATTATTAGATTAAGATTGCTATACATCTATATAATTAAAAGGATAACATGCGTGTGTGGGGGGAGCTTTTTAAATGTCATTAAACTATGTAAAAATGAAATTAAGAGTAGGGAAGTATTGACAACATCACCATATGCCTAAGGGATGGGTTGGTGTAGATAGTACTATGCATTGCAAAGAAAAGGGTATTTGGAGAGTCCCATCTCAAACGGCAGTGTTTATATGTTTTGTGCGTGTAAATTTCTTTATAAACATTTAGAGTACTAGTACCATCACCTTGTTGAGTTTTAGTTACTGCACCCAACACCCATGTCTTCACTAAATCTGGTGTATCTTACTAGATAAGTAAACCACTCGATTCAAACTGTCTTTTATACTAAAGGTGTTTGGTAGATACACGTATTGTAGAATAGGTTTACCCACGTAAGTTTAACCTTACAATCATTGAGATGTCCCATATTTGTTCAAAACTCTCCATACCTAACATCTTATATGAGTAACCTAGGCAGGTCATTTAACTGTTTTAATTACTTTAAATAGACAGCCTTTACATTTTATAAACTTTGTGCATTCAAATACAAAATAAAACAACAACAAAATATTTTGTATACAAAGCACAAGTATTTTCCCCAAGTTTTATCTTACCTTATTACTTGGAAAAAAGCATTACAAACTTGCATGTTTAAAATCTAATAATTGCCAATTAAATGAAAGTTTAATTTTTGATATTAGTTAATATTGCATGCAATTTTTCCTTTGTAAAATGAAAGAAAATATGTATTTTATTTTATTCCCAGTTTACTATTTAAAGGATGTAGTACAAACAAAACTATTCCTCACCATTGACAAATTTTTATTTCACCAACAAACTTCATCATATTTTTGATAAATGTTTCATACAGTACTCTTACTGACAGAATAATCCTTTACTTTCATGTTCTTAACTTGCCAATTTCAGTACATCTTTATAGCATCAATGATGTTTTTTTCTTTCCATGTTACAAAACACTGATTTTATCTGGTAGTGTAAAGAACGAGCAAAATTTGCATATCTATGGCTTTGAAAAATACCTTATACACTACTTTGTAGTTGCAATTTGAAATATCAGAATATTAACTTCAAGTGCTTGTGAACATAATTTAATTATGACAAAATTTCTATTGATATTATTAGGATTATCATGGTAAAAATGAAATTGAATGTCAAAAGCATACCTTCCATTTCTTTCACTACTAATTTTAACAGCTTCTTTTCTTGAAATTTGTAGGCCAGCTAAAATAACACAAGAACAATGTTTTTTAATGAATAACAAATTAAATTTAAAATGTATACTTCATTATACTGACATAAACAATATGACTATAAAATATTTATTGACATAATTAAAATACAGAGTTAATATTTTTAATGAACTTCAGCAAATAATATAGTAACTTGATATCATTATGCAAGAAAAAATAAAATATTACAGGTTTACCATTTATTAACATTTTATAAATTTATTCTACAAAATCAAAGAGGCCAACATTCATGGGTGAATTCAACATGTCTCTGCCACACAAGCCCAACATGACACCAGAAAAATTGAAAACCGTCTACATCACTGCTTGGGATCTGTAGGAAAGTACCTATGTACCAAATCCCATGTAAATTGGTTAAAATATGGCCAATATATATAATTGACCAAAACATCCAAAATTGTGCTTTTTTGTAAGTTCTGACTTCCATAAAAAGACTCAAATAGGCAAACTCAACTTTTTTTGTAGGTCAATGTGTTGGATGCATGAAAATTTATATTTGTGCAAATTTTAATCTTGATTGCTGTAAATATAACTGCACAGGAGCATAAATTATATATTTTTTGGTTGACCTTTTACCCCATAAAATCCTTAAAAATGCTTATATTCAAAAGATTAAAAAGGTGTCTGAGCATACTGGACAAAGATATAATCCTACCAAATTTCAAGTCAATCTGCTGATAAATGAAAGAATGGCAGTCGATTAAAAAGTGTTTGGAAGAAAAAACAATATAAAAACAGTATGTTCTCTGCAGAGACATAATTATTACATTTTACACTTGCACAGAACAAAAGATGATATAAGTTAGATCAGTGTATGTCTGTAAATTATATTGTGGTTTAAAAATTTTTGAAACTATTTGTTGCAGATGTTCATGCAAAGCAACACAATGGCTATCTTTACTAGCTGTTACTAATTTTGAACTAATAAACAAGAGGAAAGGCAGCTAGTCAACAGTACCCACTCCCAAATCTTGGACTACTCTAATCAAGTGTCAGATTTGACTGTAATTCTTATAATCTTTGCTTGTTTGTTTTGGATATTCATGCAAAACTACTGAAGGACTATCTGTCCTAGCTGTCCTTAATTTTGACCTGATAGCGTAGAGAGAATGCAGCTAATCAACAGCACCAATTGGAGCAACTCTTGTCTGACCAAATAGTAGGATTTTACCATCATCTGGTCATGCCTGGCCTGGAAACTAACAAGAACTTGTTGGACACTCTGTTTATTGTATATCTTGTCCATTCTTCTCAGTGTTCTAAAATATATTGATAATCCTACTCAATTAAATTATCATGATAATACACAGTATCTCTCCAAATTCAAAGAGTTTAACCATATTTCTGATATAGTTTAAAAATGATATGGAGAATATCACGTTACTTCAATAGTACAAGCTATGAACACTACATATATACATATACAAATTGTCATTTGGCACAAGTGATTGCAATCACTGAAATTATCCTAACTGCTTACCAATTGGCCAACAGTAAATGCTTGTTTTGGAAATTGCTGAACAAAGTCTACAGCCATCTGATCAGTATCATATGATTCAGTTGTAGTGCTGTGAAAAGTACATTATCATTTCAAAAACATACATTTCCAAAGAAACTTTTATTCGTAAACATTCTAAATCTCCTTTTTTACATTTTATAAACTTTATATTCTAGTAACATAACTATTTAAAAATACTTTTTAAAGTTGTAAGTAATAATAAGCAAATTTCATGTAGTGTTTTTCTGTCCTTGTATTCACATATATGATTTCCATTCTTCATTAAAATTTCTCTAAGCTTATACTGTCCTATGACTATAATATTTAGCCCCATATTTTTAGCTCTACAAATCATAAAACATTGCAGTATGAAAAGAAAATTTCAAAAGTAAATCAATAAATGTCTCCTAAAAAAGGCCCTATTTACTACATATTATATTCTATACTGTTCTTTTTCAGTTCTTAATGAAAACTGTTCTAAGCGTCTCACTCGTTGTTTTCATTAGAAAATATTTTGAAGCTGACTATCAAAAAGTATCATTCTAACAATACACATTCTTGAGTGAAGTGAAATACAATACTCATACAACATCATTACATTTGATGAACTATCAGATGTTCAGTGAACTTTGTAGTTTTGTGTGGCCTTAGTCTGTTAAAAAGGAGGACAAAACTTTAGTAAATTGTAAAATTTGATTACACTGGATGGCAGCTTTTAATCTTTAGGGAACTCTGTTGATCTTCTGACTACTAAGTTTTACCAAGAGTTTATACAGTTACTTAATCTCTGCTATGGATGCTGAAGGCAGCTAACTCTGCTTAGCTAAACATTTGGTCTTAATTTGTCTTACTGCATATTCTATTTTTTATTCTTCAGTTATTTATCTCCCTCTTTGGCCAACACTTGTTACTATATAAGAGCATGAAACTTAACACATTGCATATTTTGTTAAAAACTAATCAACTGACTGTTTCATTTGAAGAAACATACCACAAAATAATACTGTCTATCATAAGGTATGTCTCAATATTTTAAAAACTGTCCATGTTTTTTTTAGATATTGTACCCTGAAGCTTAAAAAAAGTGTAATTAAAGATTGGGGACTAAAATGGGCTCAGCCACATTGGGAAATTAAGATACTCTTGCCTTTATAATATTCATTTCAGTTTTAAGTTAGTTTTTGATTTTAGAGAGCCACTTTCAAAACATCTTGAGCCTAAAACCATGTTCACTTTTAAATTGAGAAACTGACAAGCAGTTAAGTTTTCAAAAGAAAATTTGAGGTTTAGCTGTAAACTTTATTACATGGACATATCACTTCTGTAATGATAAGAAGCATTTGGAAGAGTGTAGAAGTCTTTAATTACATTTATGAGCTAGATAAAAGAAAACCTTACATGACAATCAATAGACAGCCTCTTCAGGAAATTTGGATACGATGGAGTTTCACATTTATATTGTCTTACACAGTTCACCAGTTGTTAAAAGCAAATCAAAATTTCCAAAGAAAGGGACACTTAAAAAATCATACACATCTTTCAATAACATTTTTTTACACATAATTATGTGTAAGCTTACACATCTAAACACGCAGTATATCCTACAACAATATCTGAACCTTCCACATCTAAATGCAAGACAGCTGGCACATCACTAATTGTAAATTTAATAATTTTCACAAGTATTAATCATTTTAAATTACTATCTGTTCCTTCTGTGATAGTCAAAAATTAATTATACCTATATAATTGCACCTTTTAAAATTCTCTGTCCTTAATTTCTACTGACATATGTCTATCATAAGTATATTTTACTGCAAAAATCGTTTTCAAAACAGATTGATACTCTTGTTCATACTTGTACTTTCTTTGTACTCATGAACAATTATACAATTAGCTGATAAAAATCACAGATCTCACTAAAACTGTTTACCCTTACATTACTTACTTCTTCTTTTCAAGGAAGTCCACTTCAAGTACAATCTTTGCAACATACTGGTTATTGGGATCAAATATATATGGTCGAACATCTATTTTCTGACCAATAGACAGTTCTGCCCACTTTCTCTGAAAAAGTTGAAGATAAAATAAACATAATTTGATTTTTAATATCTATTCATTTACTACTTATACAGAAAATAAAAATGTTAATATAAGTCAGTAAACATGAAAAAATATTAATTTTATGAAATTTGTAATAAAGATTCTAATAAACATTCTGATCCATGCCTGATGAAGTTCAGAAGATGTAGCACGTGTGGTAAAAAAGTTATTCACTAAACTTCCAGAGATGGGACAAAACAGGTTTGTCTACTTTAATTAATAATACTTTCTGCAGATGATTATGTTTTAATTATAAATTTAAGTGTGTTGAACATAATAATGAATATATTTTTACTGAAATGTTTTATTCTTTTCACTCAAGAGATGTCTCTACAAGAAAACCCTTTATTCAGAAGAAAAAAAATTAAAATTTCAAAGTATCAAAAAAAATGTTTATTACGTCTTAAATATGAAAATATACTCAATTAAAGAAAAATAGCAGCCATTTATCAACATGTCTTCAGTTTTGCTATGTCTATACTTGTAATTAAAAAAAAACAACCTCAAAACTCTGTCTTAGAATCTTTGTCAACTCCTTTAGATGATTTTTTTTCAATTTAGCTTAAATTGGACATAAATAGAGGCAGCAATTTTCCAAGGGTCATTTCTGTACTTCCTATGATCTTTCTATGAAGCAGGACAGCACACTGCTGTGTATTTTATTTTTAATTGAATTAGCCAAAATAATTTGCTTTAAGCATTGTCACAACCATAACAGGTCAACTCCATGTACCTTACAGACTAAAATTTAAATATGATTTATGATTAAAAATGAACAATTTTATAGGCTATGTGGTGTCATTTCTAAACTGTAGTAAAACAAGGTGATTGCTTTGTCTTGTGCTTTGGTAAAATGTAAAACTGTTATTTTGCCAACTTTGTGACACATCATCTCCATCAGATCCAAATTGTAAAATTGACCTGATGGAGTTGACAATCACTTATACGCCTTTATGTAATCTATTTTTAACACTAGTCATTCATTCATTTAAATGGGCAAAATATGAAAAATATAGACTGTTCAAACTGCATAACTGCAGATAAAAAAATGAATATTAGTATCTTGTATTTTGCCATTAATTGAGAAGTTTTATGCATAATAGATTTTAGACAGAAACATTAAATCATTAAAATTAAATATATTGTCTATTTAAGGTAAACATGGGTAGAAACAAGTTATCATTAGAAGGAAGAATAGGGAGTACAAGATAACTGTTTGTTTGTAATTAAACACAAAGCTACACAATGGGCTATCTGTGCTCTGTCCACCACGGGCATCGAAACCCGGATTCTAGCATTGTAAGTCAGCAGACATACCGCTGTGTCACAGGGTGACAAGTACATAAGAAAGAGGAGGGAGAGAATTAATAGTCAGCCAAACACAAAGGCTCAGGATCTAGCAAAAGAAAGATGTTGATGAAAAAAAGAGGGTTTCTGAAGGAAAGATAAGGCTGATAGAAGATTTGAATGAGAGAGAAAAAAGAAAAAGAGAAAGGCTTGAAGATGTTTAATGAAGGAATTTAGGAAGTGTAAGGAACAAGCAAGGTTTAATAATATGCCATCTTCTAGTCCAGATAACTGAAGTGGTCCTACCAACCTAAGGTATAGCAGACAGAAAAGTTCAGGAGCTAAGATCAGAAAGAGGCATTCACATGAAATAAAAAGGCTAAATGAAAAAACAGAGAAATTGTAGAACTCTAAAGAAAAGTACAGATAGCAAGGAAGAAGAGCAACATAAACAGACTAAATTAATCTCCTAGAAGTATAATATGAAAAACACTTCTCTACCACAATACACTAGTTGCAGAACTTGAAGAAAAACAAAACCATAACGAGGAAACAAGATCTGACTTGCAGGATTCACTAAACAAGTATTTTACTAGTAGATTTCTTTTCTCTTTAGAAACAGTGACTTTAAATTACTAAACTAAAGCTTACTTTATATCCAAACTTTCCTGAACAAAACTGGAAGTTCAATATGTTTTTAGTGAAACATGAAATTCTTAAGATATAATAATTTTAGATATTATATATATATAAAAGTATATATGCATTTTATAATCAACCATACCTATATGGTAACAGATGGAATGCAGTAATTGTAGGTGTATATCTGGTATATGGAAACTTTTATTATTGTTACTAACTTGTTGGTACTTATAACTTACTGATGTCTAATGCAATATATTCTACATATTCAAAATTCAGGTTGGGAAGGAAAAATTTGAAGTATTTCAAAGATGAAAAGTATAAAAAACCTGGTAATATCACTAATATGTTGGATTTAAATAATTTATGTTCTCTTTTATATATTCAGGCCAGCCAATCCCAATTTTTTTTTTTTATAGAAAACTTTAGCCAACAAGTACTTTTTTCAGCCATATTTGTCTATTAATAGCCATAATGTCCATCTAAATCTGCATCTTCCTCATAATAAATACATTATTTTCCCCCCATCCAAACACCATTCACAAAAAGAACAAACCTTTTTCTTTATTACGTCAGCCATTTGTATTTATATAATCAATTTGCACTGATAGTTTTCTTTGGCTTCAATTTTGTAGGTTTCAATTCAGACTGAGGTTCACAATCATTGCCAGAAGAATCTACATTAGTTTTTGAATCATTAGGCCTACTAGAACAACAGGCAAAGAAATTGAAAAGTGTCTTCTGATTCATCATCATTCTATCAGTTTCAACTTCAAGTGAGTACAAAATGTTATTGACTGTTCCAGACATTTTAACATTTGCACAGAGTAAGCTTTAAGTGTGCCTGATGTCAGTCAAGTCAACCTATATATTTTTTTTTATTATTCAATGCTCACCTAACTTGGAGAACAAGATCAGTGCAGCCACTGGCTATACAGAAATTCTCATATGCTTTATACATGTATATGGCTAGGGATATGAGCATCTGTTGGTAAGGTTGCTTGCCCTCCCACTGAAAATGAGAAACATAATTCTCTCTTTATTCATTCAGCATACGTATATGATTTATTTTTATTCACTTCACAATTTCGTGCTAGTTTCTCTTATCAGCTGTCACACTTCTTGTCACTGCCTTATGTGCTTTAAAGCAGTTTTCCTGAGCTGTGGCATTTACCACTCTGGTCTGGTTGTTGTTTAGCACTGTCTTTTTCTCCACCCTCACTTGTAGCTTTTACAGTATTTTAATTAATATCCATTGAGCCTTCTTCATCCTTAGTGTTTCTTCACAGGTATTTATTCATGTCTCTTTGACTTGCTGCCATTGAGTGGGAAATTCAATATTATCTTCATCTTACAGCTCCTGTATTACCTGTAAAATGTTGTAAAAAGTGACACTGTCTCTCTAGCCTTAAGAAACTCCACAATGTAACAGATTCTTGTTCTTATCGCAGTCCAACTCTTCTTTAGCTTCAGCTTGGCCAGCACCAGGTGGGTATGAGCTTCTCTCTTTGCATGTACGTCTTGTATTACATTGTAACCATTAACTTGCATAACTTTAATCTTTAGTTTTAAATAAACTATAAATTTACTTTTCCTACATTGTGTTTGTGTTATGTTTGTAACACCACACCCCCTACTTTCCTGAATTTATGTTCTGGTGGAAGTTGTGACAGGCACTGGTATGCCTCAAATCTACAACTCTCTGATAACAGGGTGCATGATGGCTATGTAGTATTCTTTATCTATTTATTTATGTCATCCTTTTAACTACATAAAAAATAACAAATATAACTATACTAATATATTTTCAACAAACAATAACAAAATTAATACATCAATAAAGCACCAAAACTTGCAAGTATCAATCAATATCATTAAGATAACAAAACTGAAACATATAAATTTGCTTCCATGTTGTACTTTATATCACATAAAATAATATCATACAAACATACTCTGGTATCAATTATGTATAAACAGACTGTGATTGCAATACAATCTTCACAATGCCTAAAAGTAAAAAAAATTGTTTTTGCAGTAACTTGACCCATCCTGAAAAAAAAACAGACCCTGACTTTATGCATTTTCTTCCAAAAATGTCCAAAACACGTAATCTGATGTTTATCGATGAGTAAAATTTTTAAACCTCTTACTTGCATAGGCAGGTTTCTAAATGAACCCATTCACAAAACATAACTTTGATAGTAACTACCTGAAATTATATTATGGAAGAAGTCAAAATAAAGTTAGTAAATTTATATGAAAATGTATTAATAAATAGTTATATATTCATCATCATTATGCTTCTTTTGTCTATTAAGCTTCAATGAATAATTTAGAGTATTTTTAGTTCTTAGTATTTTTGTTTTCCCAGATTGAAACTGTATCTTTATTTTTAATAACAATTTTTCAAAGTAATTATTTCTAACAATGTTATCCAATTGCTTAACCTTCTCCACATGGGTCACGGGTCAAAGGCCATGTCATCGCATTTGTTGACTCGCATTCAAAATGTTATTGAACTACTATTTTATGAATTTATGTCAATAAGTTTGGTATCAAACTGTAGATTATAACTCAAAAGTTCTCATAGATTTCTCATGAAAGATGAACAGTTGCTTAAAACTTGGGTTGATAAATCCAAAAGAGTAGACAAATTTGATCAATTCAATAAGAACAGTTATGTGTATTTGGACCCCCTTAGTAATGATGATTTTGAGAGAGGCTTAAAAATACGTGACTGCAAAACCAAATCAAGATTAAAGCCAGGTGCCCTTTCTTTTCTCCAATTACTACCATCATGAAGTACAAGGAATACCAGTGAATGTATGGCTAGAGTACAAAAGCCATAACAGAAAAAAGCTCGTAAGTGATATCATCTGTTTATCACCTGCTTCAGGTTTTTAAAAATGGAGCTGACATTAAAATATACAATTAACATTTTTTTTTGGATTCAAGTCAGAACAATTTAGTGATGCAACTTGAAGCTACCATAGAAAACAGAAGGAAGGTAAATGAAGAAAAAAAGAAAATAGCTGCTTTAAGAGCAAGAATATCTCTGCTGCAGAAAGAAAGAATGACAAATAAACATGTAATAAGAACAGAAATGTGTGGAATCGGCATTTTGCTGATTAAAAATAATAAACTATAGTCTCACTTTGCACTAGACCATTGTTATGTACAACACACAATTTTATACCCACAATAATCTTATTCTCCTTTGATGTGAAGTGGCATAAGCTTAAAAATAATAAACTATAGTCTCACTTTGCACTAGACCATTGTTATGTACAACACACAATTTTATACCCACAATAATCTTATTCTCCTTTGATGTGAAGTGGCATAAGCTCTTAAATTTAGTTCTTTTGTAAAGTGAAGACAGACCTAAATTATCCATGATTGCCTTAATGTAGTTGCATACATTTTGTTCACCTCAATATAGTTGTTTTCATACAAAATCGTTAATTTGATCCTACTCTACCTACTAACCTGTATCTACTGATCTCACGTGCCAATGTTATATTTAGTATTTTTCTGATTTATTAACAATGTCGTGGAGTACATAATTTAAACAACACAGTGCTATTCTGAGGGTACTTAAAGATATTTTCAAACAACTTTTTATGTGAAGTTAATAAACTTTGTTACCATAACCAAACCCTACTAATATAAAGAAAAACAAAACACAATTAGTCTCACCACAGACCTTCATTAAGTGTTAGTCAGTTGAACTAATGGAAAGAAAATTATTTTTGAAACACATTTAAGAATAAAAAGATTTGATCATTGATGTTTATAGAAGAAATAAAATAATGAAATTTGATAACTCAATAGATGGAGTACATATTTTAAACGTTTTTCAAACATGTAAAGCAATATTAATTGTCAAACCTTTAGTTCTTATAAAACTTTCACATAATGGTAAGGAAAGAAAATACCCTTGCCAAACAAACATTACTAGGCTATTTAGAAATAATTATAATCAAGATCTTACCAGAGGCAGACTGAATCCTATGTTGCCAGAAGAAATACCTTCACTTTTTATTATTGTACAAACATACTTGTGGTTAGCTGCTGTTATAATTTCAATATGTCTAAGGAAAGTTAAAATAACTTGCACTCATTATTCCACATTTTTAAAGCATTAGCTAAATATTTAATATAAGTTATAAACATGCTTATAAAAAATGAAGCAGTAGAACAAATTAAGTACAAACTTGGGGACAGAAGAAAAATATTTTAAAAACAATCATGACATTTTTACTAATTTAAATGTTATCAAACTGACTAAACTTTTGTTTTAATACTTTTGCAACTTTAAACTATATGCAATGATATCATCACAAAAATTTCTTAAAACAATATAAAATTTTATTTTAAATCATTCGTTACTATGTTTTATTCTTGATGATTGGCAGTTTAAACATTCCACAACTTCACACTTTCTTCTATGATGAGCTACTTGATTTAGGAATGTCAACAAAAATTTATAAAAAAATCAGTTTATAAGCTTGGTTTCACAATGAAAGAAATTTTTACAACAAAATGTCTCTTATGCTAAATATGATGTTTTGTCAATACATTTCACTAAAATAAGTTTCTTATCGAGTATCACAAACCTGTACAGCCAAATGATTTTATGGCCGTGAAATTATTTTCAAAAATATTTTTACAAAAATTTGTGATTTAAATGTTTTTGCAAAATTTAAAAAATTTCCAACAGTATACATTTTTTCAACTTTAAAATAATGATAACTTATATGCACTATCATCTTTGTCAAAGTTTCAAAAGTTAAAATAAATTTTATATTACTATTTTAGTACATTTGAAATGAAAAAAAATTAATATAATGTACGTGTAAGTTCACTTTCTGTCTATAGCATTTATAACATTAAAGATTTTATGAAGAACAAAATGTACAAAAACCTAAGTAAAAATGTTTAATATACTAAGTAACAACTGTACACTAACCTAAAACACAAAAACTACTTCAATGCTGAATCAAAGTTTCCTAAAATCTCTATAACCTTATAATACTTTTGTTTAGTATGACACAGTTATATCATTTTAGTACAAGTAATTTGTGTCTATGACCTTTCCAGGAGTGCTCTCCATGAATGTTACCTTAAAGTTGAACAGTAAATCTGGTCTTTAAAGAAAACAATCAAGGAAAAAGTCTTGTTTTTCAAAGAAGATTGTATAGATTACAAGCCTTAAAGATCAATTGTACATTTTTAACTGCTTACACATTCATGAAATAAGAGGGTAGTAATTAAATCTCTAGGTTGTGTAAGTAGTAGAGACAAAGTTCATTACACCACTTTTTCTTGTAATATTATATTCCCTGTAACAAATGCCTCATCTAATAATGTGAGAATGCAGAAAAAAAATGTAGAATATAATTTAGACTTCACCCATAGTGATTATTCACATACCTGACTTTGTCAGTAAAATCTTGCCCGTTCACAACAGCACAGTTGGTTAAAGACAGCTTATCTGAAGGACATCGTGCTACTGTCATCTTTAAAAAATATGATAATCACAGTTTGTTTTTTAATTGCTCGTCTTTATAAAACAAAATGAACAGAATTAAAAAATAAATAAATATATACACACACAAATTGTTTTTTAATTTTCATTGGATTTTTATTTATATGAAAGCCCATGTGGTTAGATTATAGTTCCTACATAATTTAATGACAAGAAAACTAATTTATCTCTATTACATATATATATCTATCTGGCCAAAATTGGAATTTAAATATACCTTTTATTTGCATAAAATTTAAACATAAAATAAGTTTGATACAAACGTCAGCAAATTAAAGTTCCAGTTATCAGTGTAGCACAATTTGAAAATTGGAACTAGTTTTCTCATGATTATAGAGAAAGAGGTGACTTGATTGAATCATATATTCAAAACTGTTGAAGACTTTAATAATCTGCATACACGTACAAGAAGTCTGTTCGAGTGGTGGAATGAAAAAATGGGAAATACCTAATTGAATATTAATTTGTTAGTTATTAATGTTTTGCTAGATAATGTGGTATATGGCAATCATTAGCTTTTTTCCTTTAAATTTTTGTTGGATGGGTAAATGGATGTGAAGAGATACATTTTTTGTTGGTTGGTCTTAGTGAGGGTAAAATTCAGCAGGATAAAAAATGAGCTTTTTTAACTTATTTACTAATTGAATATTAATTTGTTACAGTTATTAATGTTTTGCTAGATAATGTGGTATATAGCAATAATTAGCTTTTTTTCGTTAAACTTTTGTTGGACGGGTAAATGGATGTGAAGAAATAAATTTTTTTGTTGGTTGGTCTTAGTGAGGATAAAATTCAGCTGGATAAAAAAATGAGCTTTTTTAACTTAAGTGACCTAGTACTTCCATTCTTTAAAGAACATAAATACAAATTCTTTAAGTTTCTCTTTGTAGCTCAAACTGTTTAAGCCATTTATCATTATAGCAGTTTGACAACTCATTACAACACATCAGTTCTCTTTCGATAATGAATAGTCTAAAAGAGGCCTCATAAAGTTTTGTGTAAGGTTGCAAGTAATCTTTTTAATCCTACATTAAAAATTTCTGTTAACAGGTCCCAGGGATTTATTAGCTATTTTCAAAACAGCAAAACTAAGTTGAAGGTTTAAGAAATCATCAGAAAGTCTGTCTTAAATTGGTACTCTTACATAAAAGAAACAGTTATTCAGTGGGTAGATTAGTAATAGATTAGAAAATTCTGATGTGGTTTGAGGTAGTTTTGAGATAATTGTGGTGAAATCTATAGAGTGAGATAGGTGACAAGACTGGGTTATGTTTGAGAATTACAGACTCGTATAATTATGCAACTTCACAAATAGTTGACCAACTGTATCACAAAGATACAGTGCACTACACTAGCAGAACTTTCTTACTTCTAGATAAGCTAGTGATTGCCTTGAGAAATATTGCCCAATTATGGGGTGAGGGTGGAGAATAGCTGATAATTATTGGAGCAAAAATCAAGAAAACAAGACAGAAAATTGATAAATTTCATCAAGAGTTAGAATGAGAATGCTGGGTTTACAAGAATTCACAGTAGTAAAACCATTAGGGCTACAGAGCAAAATTCAGTTAATATTTATGTCCAGATTAATAGATTTGAACCTCTGGCTGTTCATGAGGCCAGGAAATTTAAATAGTAGAGGGCTATCTCATTAGGAATAGTGATAAAGTTAGCTGTAGAGGGGAGCAAAGAATGACTAGGAGTAGGATTTGCTTCCAAGGAACTAAAGCATTGGCACTAGGTAAATGGGGTGCAACTTTTGGAAGAAGGAAATAAGTGGCAATTTCATACTAGATGGTCAGTGGTATGTGCTCCTTCTGAAAAATATGGTAATTTTCATGGAAAATGATGCTTTTTGATGGGATATGAGGCTGTTTTTATACCTTCCAAGTATGTTTTATATACGATAAGAGATACCATTGAGTCTGATGTAAACTTCTACATAAATGTGAAATATAGGGCATTATAGAGCTTGTTGACAGTTTAATTGTTAATGGATATTTTCTTTTAGTGCCTATAGAAGCAAATGATGTTTGTTATTGGAAATTAGAAAAGCTGTTTAAAAGTACAAAGAGCTCCTTCTAAAGTTTAGGGATAGAAATAGATGCGAGTCCCTTTTGTAATGCATCCCGAGGCTAGATTTCAAAAAGATTTTAATAAAATGCTACATGAGAGATTAGGTATGAAAATCACATTGGCAGAGTCTGAGGAGACACTATGAAAATCACATTGGTAGAGTCTGAGGAGACACTAGTTAAATAGATTGTAGAGTGGTTGAACGACACATGGAGAGATTAGCTATGAAAATCACATTGGTAGAGTCTGAGGAGGCACTAGTTAAATGGATTGTAGAGTGATTGAATGACACATGGGAGATTAGCTATGAAAATCACATTGGTAGAGTCTGAGGAGACACTAGTTAAATGGATTGTAGAGTGATTGAATGACACATGGGAGATTAGCTATGAAAATCATATTGGTAGAGTCTGAG